CGTCGAGTAGTTATCGATTGCGGACCACCGTGACGTCATCATGGATCACGCCACATCCCCGCCCATTGAAACTCGACTTCTGATTGGTTCACGTGTATGCTGGCTATCTATATCGAAAAGCATGACCGTCGCGGCTTGTGAGTGTGAGTCAAATCTTCAGTTTTCACATGCGCATAAATTAATCTACACGATGTTATGCAGCATTATTTTCGTTTACACAATTTTCAACGATCACCGTGCTCCTTGTGTCATGTTAACGAAAACTATGAGCTGAAAATCTTTAGACGATTGACTATGTGTACTATGTTAAGAAATTGGCGGGTGATTTCAAATGGGAAATGTATTCAAACTGTAGCAACGTTCTTTGCAAAATTTCATTAGAAACAAAGCGAATTTTCACATTCGCTCGCATTTTGGAATGTTCTTCGAAGTTATTTGGAATGCGCTGCGCGTAGGGTATTTCATTTTAGAGAATTTCCATCGGTTTATTCGGTTTTAAGGCAACGGACAGCAAGATGGCTGCTATTGGATCGAGCATGTATAGAGTGGTCGGTGTTCTGCGCTGGCGTTAGTACGTGCGAGAGAGTAGGGTACGTTCAGTTTTGCTGAAAATACGCAGTATTCGTTGAAACCTCAGCGTGCGATAGGTTAAAAGTTTGACATGTGTACGACAAGGAGTGTGTCATGCATACAGAAGAAATGATAATATTCGAGTATTATTCGCGCGAATACTGAGCTGTCGCTCGCGTGCGCGTTACATGTTAACGCTGCAAGTAATAGAATCGGTCAACGGTAAATAGTAATCAAGTTCATAGTACAGAAGCACGTGGTGTTCAAAGCGTATTGGTTTATCTTATCAAACAGCGGAGATAATCCTTCCGACCGAGTCCGAAGATCCAAAGGAGCTCGATCTCCGCGATCGTTGTGACGAATGTAAGAATAATATGATAATTTTAAGTGGTGCATGCTTGAAGCACAAGTGCCCGAGCTTTATTTTTGAATGTCGTGAAGATTTTTCGCGGTGGACATTGACATCGTTCTCGACGTAATATGAAAAGTGTTTGATAACGTAACATGTAAATGATCTGTTGAACAGCTGTCTCATTGTCACATGTCGGTCTCGTTCATCCTCTGCCAGTGTTACCTAATGCCAACGATACGAGAAAATTTCTCTGTCGCGAAACAGAAAAGATTAAAGACCAAAGATCGCCTGAAAATTCTAACCCTACATAACTCCTTGCGTTAATTGCGATTCGAATTCAGTTCGTCGTCGGCCGCTGACGGAGTACGTCACGTCGTGGATCGTTTCTCTGTCTCTCTATCCTTTCCTCGTCCCTCTCCTTTTACCTAACACGCGCCATAAGTATAGATATTTGTACGCGCGCACATACACACACACACACACCTACACCCACACCATTCTCAACCCTTAGTTCGTGTATAGTGATAATTTCCTCTTCTGGCCGCGGTGGGAAAAACAGACTGTTAGTCGACAGGAATCGTCGAACTTGTTGGGAAGGAACGGGGATTTATACAAGTTAAGACAGTCGCGTGCTAGTGCATAGAAGAAGGTAAGCGAACGAAGTATAGAACGAATTTTTGCTTCGTATTTCGCGAACAGTTATAATTTTATTTCATTAACGTACTAAGTCGGCTTGCAGAATTTCGAAATTACATTCTCACGTGACACGATTTTTTACTTTGCAACAAGAGTTCCTTTAACTTAAACGTTTCCGTTCAAAAAAGAAAGAAAGAACAAGAACGACACGCGAGCCAATTGTGAAACACACATGTCGACATAACATACAATCAACCAGCAATGGTTTAGTTGAAATGACTTTGAATTACTCTCGATTCAAACTTCCGGAATGGTGCTGCTTGCTGCAACTAGAGATTGGCCGGTAACGTTCTTCTTTCATTTACTCTGGCGTGTGAATGTTTATCGTAGTTGCAGCATTCCACAAACGAGTCATCCATCATTCGATCGAGTATCGAATTCACGGTCAAATTGTCCTGCGGTTATCGATCAAGAATTGTCGGTGAATGAACGAATACGCGCATGCATCTTCGAGCATATTTTCGAATATTTGAAATATACTCAACGACTTCGTTCCGAATGTATTTTATTCGACCGTGGATTATCAAGTGGAAAAGTGCCGTTTATGTTGCCTGTTCCTCTTTAATGTGTTTTAAATGTTAGAAAACTTTTAGGTTAAATGTCTTCATAACTTCGGCG